ATAACTATCTGTTTGTAGGTAAACCACAATACAACATTATTATATTCGAAAAATAACTAAAATGTAGTAATATAGAGATGTCGGAGTGAATGTTAGAATTCTTGACATTAGTATGGGCTATGGAGGGTAGGTCGCAATAACGCTCACATAATAACTACGACGGAACGTGCCGGGAGACTCGCTCGTAATGTGTTTGGAACCAAATGTAAGTGTACGATCTTTGATCTAAAATATGACGCTACTTACAAGGTAAACAACTTGAAGCTATCAAAAAAAACATTGAACTTTGTTTGTTTATATTTGTTTTGTCTAATTTCCTTTTAAGTCAGTACTTTAAATTTAAAGTTATGATTTCTTTGTCGCCAAAAGTAATGTATCCACACCCTTTATTTTACATGAATTACTTTATGTTAAAAGTTAATTTTTAATTAAATATAACAAGATTTAATTTTGATTATACTTTAGAAGTTTTAATAGCAATTATTTCTGAAAAATTTATAATAATTAATAACCCGTATGACTCATAATTTTTCTGGTATTACATGTAACATAAAATACTTTGAAAAACGATGTCTCTGTGACAAAGAGATCCCATCTGAGGGTAGAGCGTAAATTTTTGAAGGAAATAGAAATAGCACAGGATGCGGTCCGAAGGTGTATTTCTTTATTCCATTGTAACTAGGATATGTTTATGGGCCATTCATCAGACGGCTCAATAGCTATTGTTGAAGACAGGATGAACTAGATCGTGGTGGGACTTGGCTTGGCTATAATAGAACTAGGTGACTCATTTAACATGAATGGACGAGTTTCTTTTTGTTTAAAATGACAAAACACTGTCAGGGTATATCGCTATATATATATATATACTAGCTTTCCGCCCGCAGCTTCGCCCGCGTACAGTTTGGTTATGTCGCGTTTCCAAGGGAACTTTTTAAAAGTGTGGGATAAAAACTATCCTATGTTCTTTCTCAAGGTTAACTCTATATCTGTACCAAATTTCATTAAAATCAGTTCAGTGGTTTAGGCGTGAAAGCGTAACAGACAGACAGACAGAGTTACTTTCACATTTATAATATTAGTAGGGATAGATTTCGCTTATACTATAACACTAATCATCCTAAGTCTTCATAGAAATAAATGCTCGTATAGAAAGTACAAAGGATTCTACCGCGGCCCGCAGACCCGTAATACAATCTCAACAGGTCAATGTATATTAGTGAAAAGATAACCTTCAAAAACAACAAATTTATATAATACTCTGGTAATATCCAAATAGCAATAAAATAAACTTCATAATATGAAATGCGTACTTTTTATATTAAAAAGCAAAATATTGACTTATTAGATCTTACACAACTAATAATAATACAAACATAAGTAAATATACTTGCTATACATATTGTATTTATTAGCTAGTTATAATTGTCTATTTTGTTTTCTTCATAAAGTTCAAGACATAATTTACTTCATTTATCATATGCTAATCTGTGCCATTAAAGATCTTAGAGCGTCATAACTATCTATGGAATAGTCTGCCAGAAGCCTCATTTGCACAAGAATAATTTTGGGTATTATTAAGTACGGTTATAAAAATTTATGCTAATACCACGGGTTTGTATGGAAACTGTATGGAAATATTAATCATATATGACGAAATAAAAATAGACTTCTTTTAATATAGCATGTTATAGACTTTTTGCATGTTTTAATTCATATAACTACAAAAACTAACTACTTTATGTGTTTAATTTAACGAGCTAACTCATGGTAAAAGTTTGAAAGTATCTAGCACAATCTATTGTGTGTCACGTGACTTCATACAAGTCCAACCATTAGGCGTATTGGCGTTATGAATGTAAATTTAATCTATATATTTTAGTGTAAGGTACAATATTGTAAATTAAATTTAAATTGATTGTGTTTTTTGCATGAAATAATAAAGAACTCGACGATAAATTCAACACATATTGTTATATAGTTCCATACATTCCTAGTACTGAAAATCTATACACGCAAACCATTCGTGAGAATCGGAAGATTTAATTTTATATAACTATGCCATATTTATAAGAAAATATTTAGGAACAGATATGTATCCTTAGTATGACATAATATTATCATACTGAGAAACTTCCGTATCGAAGACTTATTCTCTCAAAGTTACTTTTACTTTCTTATAATTTAATATATATAAATGAAAACAAAGAAACTGGCACGATTAGTTTGATGGTGAAACCTCGTATTAAGTTCTGACCTAACTTACGACCGGATACTGTGTATCGTCTCAGAAATAGAAAATGAAGAAATATCTTTTATATGATAAAATTAATTTAATCACTTAGAACAAAGCACGGAATACAATTTAAAAGCCATTTATATAACGCAAAACATGAAAACTGAGCTTGAGAGAAAATTTAAATTAAGGTTCGGAATTTTTTTATTCAATTAAATTGCTAGGAACGACTTAAAGTACGAATGCGGCTTTTATTCGTCAAACGGAGAGTTATGGCTTTGTTAAAGAAGGTAATGAGAAACTAAGTGAATTTTTTCAATTCGAATATGTATCAAGATAAGTTGAAAAGAACGATTGTTTTATCTTGTTTTAATCTTGGAGTATAATCACGAAATATTGCGTTCTATTTAGCAATGCAATATCGATTTCATAAAAATACGAAAGATGTTTTAATAACTGGACAGACAATACGGAACACAAGTTTGGGAGGAATTTTTATTTTAATGATATCTAAGATATTCTTGGTACATATTTAAATGAAACTAAGACTTTCAGATACTCCATATTTTTTATTATTTTCTAACTATATATTACGACGCTACGGTTCCTTTAAAAAAAAACTGTAATCTGTGCTGAAAAGTAGCCGAAACATCGGGAGTATGTAGATTTTAAAATAATAAAACACGTGTAATACATCCGAAAAATATTAGTTTTATTTAAATGGAAGTGTAAGAGTTTTTATATTATAAAGTATAACAATGAAATAGCCGTAGTCAGATTAAAACGAGTTAAGGTCATCGACAGTCCGTGTGAAGGATCGCGTGTTCACATCCAGTTAAATGGTCAACATCTGTCTTATCTTAAGAGCCAATTTATCTCTCTTAACTGAACAACTGCTCCTTTTTAGAGATACGTTTGCGTTTTTTTGTTAAACTTTTAATTATCTTTTCTTTCATTAACTTCTTTCTATATTTTCATCGTATAAAAGTAATCTCATCGAGTACCGGAATTAAAGTCTCCGGGGTGACATTTAATAAAGTCGCGTGGTATAGTGTAAGTTATGTTGGGACGTCATGTGAACTTAGATCCATTTAAAGACAAAATCTTTATAAATTGTTATAATAATGATATTATTATAACAACTTTATTTTCAGCGGGTTAATACCCGTATTAATAGTAACTCAAATGTTTCAACTTCTATTTGATCTTATTTATTTTGCTACAGCTGCCGGCTACATATTAAAATTTTCTATAAATATTTCTCTCCATAAAAGCGTCTTAGTCATATGTGAATGGTGCATGTCAAATGTGATAGATAGCTAAGATACAGGTTTAGTGAAAATCATGAATAAAGTATTCACGGTCGATTGAAATGAGTATGGCATGAAGTATTTTATTTCAAGTATAAAGAGACTAAGAAGAGATATGATAATTTTTATGATGATATTCATAGTAATTTACAAACTGATGAGCTTTTTATAACGGACATTCCTCATTACACGAGCAAATGAAACATTAGTGGAGCGTCGTTAGTTGAGTCTGTATAAGGGACATTTACACTGGTTTAAACAAAATTATATATAGTGAGGAAAATACTATGAATATTTATGAATGGATAAATAAAATACTCTGTTTCTAATAAGTAAGATTATAAATAAGTAAGAACATTTGTATATAATTGACATACTTGGAATTCAATTCTGAAGCACCCGAAAATAAATTACGATTGGAATTCTTTCGGTAACTTTTTTCTTTTGAAAGACGAGAGACGTTTGAAAGACTGCAGTTTGTAAAAGAACTCAGGCTAAGAAACAAGTTTGAAAAAAACTTGGATTTTGAAAGAACGTAAATCTAATGACTGCTTTCTTTCAACTAGTCAAATGTAGTGATTTTTTTAAAGTTTTAAATATATTACTGGTTAAATGTACATACTAAATTCCGTAACCACTTTTCTTCTAATATGATATTTAATAATAATATATTATTTATTTAGTTTTTATTGACTCTCAATCTCTAGTAAAATATTATTGCTCACATTAATTTCCAATTAATTGAAATCTGAGCGTCCTAATTACATAGTCTGTCACAATGGGGACGCAATTCAAACACAACATTAATGAACTCAAACCTGATATTAGGTTCACATCTAATATAGAGGAACTAATTGACTTATCGCTCCTTTTCTATATATAAAAGAAAGTCGTGTTAGTTACACATTTTATAAGTCAAGAACGGCTGTAGGAATATGGCTGAAAATTGGCGAGGAGATAGCTTAAAACCAGAAAATGGACATAGGATATTTAATTCTGTTGGATCGAAACAGAAAAAAACTTAGTCAACTCCAATGTCTTTTTATTTATGGTTAGAGTTCGCTAGGTCAGCTATATATAATTAATTTCGAAATTAACGCGTACAAAGTCGCGGGCAAAAACTAGTATAATATAACTTGTATAAATCTTTCATAAAAGTTTTGAATAGACTTTATATGCTACTAGCTTTCCGCCAACAGCTTCGCCCTCGTCGAGTTCGGTTATATCGCGTTTCCAAGAGAACCTTTCAAAAGTCTGGAATAAAAACTATCTTATGTTCTTTCTCAAGGTCAACTCTATGTCTGTACCAAATTTCATTAAAATCAGTTCAGTGGTTTAGGCGTGAAAGCGTAACAGACAGACAGACAGAGTTACTTTCGCATTTATAATATTAGTAGGGATAATAATTTAAAATAAATTTTCCCATATAAATACGTCTTTTTATGTTATTTCAGTGTAAGTGTTCCTGGTTATGCTGGTGGATTATCAGCGTCGTTGTCAGTGGGTGCGGGTGCTGCTTGGGAGCGACTTGGCTCTGAGTTGCTGCTATCAGGGCTGGTGGCTGCTGCCTACTTCGCGGCTATGGAGAGGAGATGGACTGGTGCTGCACCAGCGCTACTCGGAGCAGCGTATTGTGCTGCCAGCTTTGTCTCCGTTAGTAAAACTTTAATTATATAAAAATCATTTATAAAGCTTTGAAATTTCTTCAGCTTTATTAAAATGTCGTATGTACATTTAGTTTTGAATTTCATGTGTTCAGTTTTGTTTTTAATACGATGACATGCCAGTGTTATAAAGAGAGTTTTTGTTATTCACAAAAAAAATTATTACGTATACGACTTGCCGCTTGTTTCACGCTTTAATAGTGAAACACAAAATAGCAGTGATTTTTAACGTAGTATTTGTAAGTATATTTAAAAAAATTAGATCTTATTTTGACTACATAACGACACATATAATTATATAATTAATATTGTGGTTAATAAAGTAAATCGTGTTGAATACAATGTGATACAATTGAAATCCAGCTTCAATCCACTCCAGCGTGAGACGTGTACGATCTCCATAATTTATGGTTCACAGCCTTAATATATAAAATGGATGTTGCAACAAATTCTCGGAATTCAATTATCATGAAAGCATATACATTTCATTGTATCGAAGAGCCCCAGCTTTGTGCAAAATATGTGGTACTGAGTATCCCGCGGACGGAGGCAGAATTCTCAATAGAAGATTCTCGAAGCACAATACGCATCCACCCGCGACACTACCTGCCTTTTGTGAGGAATCCTTAACGGACAGATGTTCCTTTTTTTATATCGAAGGCACAAAAACTAGACAAGATGCTTCCATATCTATTGAATAGACAAAAGACGGATAGTACAAAAGTTGTATTTGGCAATAGATCACATGTCCTTGCGAGCAAATGGCGAGCTAGTCAGCTCTTATCTCTTGAAACGCATAAGGATATAATTAAAATTGATAAAAGGATGCATTTAAAGAGATACTTATAATAATACAAGCAGTATCGTTAGGAGGGTTCAGAATGGAGTATTTTGTTTTATCTGTGCCATTGCGGTTAGCACTTAGTAGGACCGGCTCGACCGCAGTTATAGTGGGACCCCTTTTTAAATTACAAAGTCGTATCTGCCCTAATTACAGTCAACAATCCTTGCCCGATGAAAAGAGGATGATTTTAATACAAAACTCTCAGATATAGCAGTTTTGTTAAGAGTGAAGCGAAATACTGGGCTCCATTCAATGGAGACGTTTTTATAAATCGCTCGCTCATTTCCGTTCCAAAATAAATGTAAAAATTCGTTATTCGGGAAAATAAATGTCTTCCCACATCTTGAAGTGGAACTTATATTACTTAACTTAAAGACGAGAATCGCTCACACGAACCGTACCAGTTGAATCACGAAACTTTTGAATATTGTACAATCGAAGTGCATACGGTGGTGTTTGTTTGAGTTGCGATGTAGCAATTATGAACATATTGTGTACTGTGTACCGCCCGCTCTAATACAATGTACGGAAATTGGTTAACTTTAATAACTATTAATAGTTCAGTTTACGGAAATATTTGAATGTTGTTATAGTCGAAATATTTTGCATATTTATTTTATAATTCAGCTTTCTAATAAAAGTGACTTTCCAATTATATTTCCGTACGGATTTATGCAATGAAAGGTGGTCGAAGTACAGCTGCGATAACTAATAAATTATACCTGATTATGTCACTGTTCGAACCGGTGTAATAGTAAATCAGTTTTTATATTACCTTTGAGTGAAGTAGTTCATAGTTCTATAGTATTGTTGTTTATCATCAGATGCCGTCTCTAAACCCCGCTCGGTCCCTGGGCCCGTCCTTCGTGTTATCTCGTTGGGAGAGTCACTGGGTCTGTTGGGTGGGAGGTCTGGGGGGAGGTATAGCCTGCGCCCTCCTCCACGAGTGGGGCACGCGGCGTCCTCGCGGGAACTCCAACTCCCGCGCTTCATCTCCGAGGGATCTGGATGAACTGGACAAACCCGCGTTCCCGAGTCACCACCATTACCGTCAGCCAACGTACTGCGCCGCCGCTCCTCGCCCTGACACGACCGAGCCTCTGTACTCCGGCACCAAGTCCCTGTACTGCCGCTCGCCGCCGCCCGCGAGACACACGCTCCACAGGTCTGGAACCTGCCAAATGTAATTATTGACGGCGTGGATTGTGATCTAACGTGTTGAACATACTGACTCACTAATTATTATTTTGTTATTGCTTTAAAAGATCCATTAATATGAAAGTTTTTATTCCAAACACGACACAATATGCTCACTTACAACAAAGACATGTCTATATACGTTTTTATACACAAAATTTTCCTATTTGCTGTGAGAGATTCTTTGTATGTCTTTTTTCCGTCATGACCCTGATTTTTTAAAGTCGCCACAATGGGGTCTTTATTCCAAAATATAAACTTTACATTATCGTGTGAATATCACGTGTGGTATGTATATAAATCATTTACGTTAACAGTAACTTATAAACTACTCTTATGTGGTCAGGTCTCAGTCAGTGTACAGTAAAAGCAGCAGTGGTGGAGCGGCTGTGGGCAGCGTGGGCGTGAGCACGGCCGTGGGCGGCGTGGGCGCGGTGGCGGCCACGTCCCTGGCCACAGCTCAGTCCCTCCTGCTGCGTCCTCCGCACACGGTCACCATGAACCAGAACGTCCACAACGCGCAGAGAGACCCGGCCTACGGGAACACCGCTAATGGGGTCAGACCCGGACCTGCAGGTAACTTGAAGTTTGAACTATTATATTGTGGAGACTGTGCTAGTTTAGTGGTTAAAGGACCGCTTCTCATGCACGAGGTCGCGGATTCGATCCTGGCAAGTACCAATATAATTTTTCCGTGTCATGTGTACTTTCTAAGAGTATTTAGACATCAGTGATAGACGGTGAAGGAAAACATCGTGAGGAAACCTGGACTTATAATTTCAAATTATAATTTTGAATTTACCAACCCATTTTCAGAGCAAGCGTGGTGATTAATGCTCTAACCTTATCCATGTGAGAAGAGGCCTTACAGCAGTGGGCTCTGATAAGATAATGATGATGATATTGTAACAGTTTTTCCCTCTTGTATAATCATTAAGTTGTTCTTTAATCTCTTAGTAACGTGTCTCTCTCTCTCCCAGGCTCCGCGGCTCCTGACCGTCGCGAGTCCCTGTACGGAGCCCGGCGCGGCCCCCTCTCGTCTGAGGACAGCGCGTACGGGAGCTTCGCCCGCGGGTACCGCCCGCCCGACCACTACTAGCGACGCGCCTCGCAGCACAATATTGCGCTGCTCTTTGACGTTTGACTCTTTGTGTCTTGTGTTTGGACACTTATGTGGGAAGGTATTCTGTTTTTGAAACCTCTGTGCTGAAATACTCTGTGCTTGGACCTCTGTGCGGGAGTTACTCTGTGTTTGGAATCCTCTGTGCGTAGGTAATCTGTGATTGGAAAACGACTGTACGGAGGTATTCTGTGTTTGGAAACCTCTGTGTATTATATACTCTGTGTTGAAGGTTTTGACTCTGCGTTTAGAGCTCTATACAAGTGGACCACTCAGGAGTGAAATAACCTGTCATTTAAAAGTCCTCTAAGTGAGGTTCCGTTTAGTGTGGTTGTTTGTCTGTATATATTCGTGTCTTATTTTATATTCAAATCAAGCAAATGATAATATTATAATAAAACTATGAATTAAATAAATATTCATTGTGAAGCCTCTTGAGTGTGAATGTAATGTCTGTTCTCCTTATAATGTAAATAGTTTGTTCGAAATAATGAAATACTCAAATAGTATTGTATACAGAGCGGTAGAGTTACCGACACTTGTTAATGTAACATATATACTATAGTTTGTAAGTAACGTGTATATCTTTACCTCTTGTGATAATCTTTCAATACAAGTGTATCTGAAACGTATTTAATAAGCGGCTCGATGGACCAAAATACTAATTTATATTAATTAGTATTATTATTAAGTTACGCTATTCCTCTTAGTTTATTATCTTTCATTAAAATAATTTCTTAAGTCCAATATGAAACCAAAAAATTTCTTCCAAATATATATATATTTTTTTAGGTTAGTGATATATTTTAAGTTGAAATGTTAAACTCATCAAACGACTGATTACTACAGACTGCTTACTTTTGATTTCATGAACTATGACATATTAAACTGCATGACACTATGTATTCAACGAAAATACATAAGATTGTTCTAATAAATATAGGCTAAGTGTAAAAAAGTGTTTATTATGTAAGTTTTTCTCTATAAGATATTGAAAATTTTTGACAAAACTTGTAATCATGCTACGTACAACGAATATGTGTTAAAATAACATTGAAATTATGAATAAACTTGCATTAAACTTTACTATTAGTAAAAATATAACTCTCGATCAAAACGTGTAAGTAACGTTAGTATTTGCAGTTTGAAGACCTAAAGATATCATATAGTAAGGTTTTAAAGAAATTAAAAAAGTATCTCCTCCATTGTAAAGCTTTCAAATTGTATTTATCGTGTAACTTCATTGTGATTAAAATATTTCAATCTTCATCGTCCGTATTCGCTCGTTAATTGTAATAATTTTAATGAAAATAAATTACAATACATAAAGTTTATTTACGTGTTTTATTTCATATTTAACAGTAGATAAGTTTACTAGCAGTTTGCTAGTCAAACTAAATACAGGTAGTTAAAGTTTTCGTTCAGAAATCTTCTCATTGTATAAGTGTATTTTGTCTAAAATACCTATTATTATTTTCCGATTGCAGTACATACCAAATAATTGTTGCCTTTTTTTTCCTTCAAAAGAAAACTGAAAAAAAAAGTTTTAATTCGAAATATCTTTTACTTAAGTATATGATAACACTTTCTGTAAACTGTACAATTAATTAAAACAAAAAAAAGATTTTCTCTCGTTTCATATTTTGAATGGTTGCTAATTGGTCGCCATCTTGTGTTAGACGCGGTTCTTTATTTGCTGAAGTCAATGTTTATACTCTTCATGCCTACACTTTTTTACTTTACGTTAGGGCCAAACTTAAGTGCTTATTCATTATAAAAAAATTTTAAGTTAAATATTTAGTTGATAATATTTTTATTGCAAAATTATATTTTTAATTTTTTTTAATTCAAAGTATTACTTTTATTAACCCATTATCAATATTAAGCGTTGATAACGAAATAAACTATTCTTCAGATTCTCTATACTTATGAAGAGACTTAAATTGAAAAATTACTATATAATGCACTCAAAAAAATGTTGGAAAAATATTATTGATTTCTGACAGGCAATCTATCGATGTTTACTATGTATAAAGTATCTATACGATATAAAAATATAATTAAGGTAAATTCAAAAATAATAAATAAAACACACTTATGTATTTAAAATGCATTTATTATTCGGAATATTATGCTAAGTTCATATTATAATAAAACAATGTTTCTATTGACGAAGCTAAAGCACATTGCACACGTACGAACCAAATGTATATATGAATATATCGATGCATATAAAACACTATAAAATTCAAATTCGTTTATCATGAACAACTGCTACTACTGAAATTTTTTATTACAATGTAAAAAACAATGTTATAAACTGTTACGGCAGTGGCTTATTGTGAATTTTATAAAGAGAGAATCTATGAGGCCTACTCGCACGTTCAGATGCCGGCCCATGTACGTAGAAACTACAGATTTAAAACACTAATTGTGCTTTACTAGAAACTATAGAAGAAATGCAAAAATTCTTATATCGGTGCCGGATTAAGAGACTGACTGCAGTATAAAATGTTTACACGACCCTACTTCTCCGCTATAAACTTTTCAGTATACATATTTCAATGAGCAACTTTCAGAAGCTACGCTTAAAGATAAACGTTTTTCTGCTACAAGTATATATATATATTTTATTAAATATTATCGTATTGCTCGGGATCTCTAGCAAATGACACTCTAGCTGTCTGTTAATCCGGCACTTTTCTATATAATTGTTGGATCGTCAGCAGAGCCGCGTGTTAAAACTCGCAAGCATTCCGATTTAACAAACTATGTACAAACCGTCTTCATCTCGCCAGTCGGTCGTGGAAGCGAAGTAGTTTTATAATTTTAAACAATAAATAAATTCACGTCAGTCGCTTAAACAAGCATATCAGCTCTTCCATTTTAACTTCTTATAAATACCAATTGCCTTACGATACCTCATCCTCCATACATTACTTCCGATTTAATTTAAATAAAAATAATAATATATTTCACTAAATAAATTATAATACTCAATGAATCACGAGAAAAATTAAAATCTTACATAAACTTTTAGGTATTCGTCTCGAGCGTCAAGGCACGTTTATGGGTACAGCCGAAACATAAATACATCACCGTCATGGAATATTCGATATTAATTCATCTAACACGTAAAGAAAGCGGAACAACACTTACTCTTACAGCCTCTATACAAGGTCGAGGCGAGAAACAATTAGAAATGAAATGAGTCCAACAAAATTACTCCATCGACCATCCCCCGAGTCTGTGACAATCCGCGTTAATTAAAACTAAGATACATTACACTAGAACGTATCTAATATAGTGTAGCGAGCCGCGGACCCGGCCAGTGACGTCATCGTACAGTCCACCACACAGTAGCATCAGTCATCACCCAGCGAGTACAGAACTGAAGCCACCCGGCACCCTTCATCACTAGTGTACAGTCTCCGTGATGGGTCCGCGTACAGTAAACTACATGAGAAGGCGAAACATTAACTTATATATGATATTATATAGTATCGTTGAATTGCTAGGCACGTAACGCGTAGCTCCGACAAGCGGTGCGGGAGGGGGGTGTCTGTGTAGGGAGGGGGGGATGATGAGTGAGCCCGGCCCTTCAGCACACGCAGCCGCTCTCGTTGCCCTCCTGCTCGCTACCCATCGGCGACTGAGTCTGAAGGTCCACAGCTAATACAGTGAGTTAAGAACATTATTTATGGGATTGATATTAATGTTATAAATTTATTATTATTTATATACATGTATAAAATACAAAAACTGTATTTTGCGTGGGGTGTGAAGACGGGATAGAATACCCCTTTAATTAATTCCATTATTTTTATTGTATAAAATTATATGACAAATTTATATTACGACAAAAAAACTTTTTACGAGGTTTTAAAAACGATAGATTAAGAACATAAAAAAAATTTACAAAAGGGAATGAAAATCAAAGATAACATTTTAAAATCTGTAAAAAAATAAAATTATCTTCATAGACTTACCTTTCCAATAAATTTTAAATTATATTAAGTACATAAAAACGAAGGTAACAAAAATAATTGAAGACGTACGTAGTGTTTTAATTTTTATTTAAAATATCAGCGTGAGATACAAATATTTACAAACAAGTCGACACATCAGCTAAGACTCAACGAGTGTACTCTGCTGAGGGAAACCCGACCTTATGTGTTCACAGACAGAATCACAATTACATTAAATAACATATCATAAGAATGATTCCTGGTATCAAATTGCATAAGAATAAAAAAAACCATATTCATATTAAAATTAATACAGCGTCAGACATTAAATTAATCCCATTAGAATATACATAAAAAATATTCACTAATAAAAATCTCATTAACAAAAAAAGATAAAATAAAACATTGACAATATATATTGCATTAGAAAAAAGTGTTTAAATAATTTCATTAAATAATATAATTATATATTTTTTTGTTTATCATTAAAAAAAAAAGCATAAATTGGAATGACAATTTTTTTGGTTTACATAAACCTATGTATATATGAAAGAACATCACACTGGTTACGTTAAAATGTATGAATCATAAGAAAAGCTGTTCTTAAGCACTAAAGTAAATAAATAATACTAATGTACACGCGCCGCGACGCCTCGCTTACAATCAGAGGAACTGACCGAAGAGAAAACACGAGAGGAGTCGGGGGTCGCCTATATACAATAAAAAGATACATCTAGACGCTTGGCGCTACTTACAATATTAAGACGAGTGTCGGCTACAAGTGGCGTAATGATTTGGACTCCGAAATATAACAATTCAGTCTTCAATACTATATAAAACTTCGACACTTTAGTTAAATGATTTCTGAGCATTTAGTTCCAATATAAAATAGAGCGGCACAAAATGTTGGATAATATTAAGGTAACATCTGTTTGTGCCAACCAGTTTTAAGCCAGAACGGCATATAACAAATCTCCTCGAAACTATTGCCATTAAGCAAATGCCGTGATGCATTTAAATTGACTCTTTAGAAATCGTTTTTGATGAACTTATGATAAGCTCAGTGAATATAAAAGTTACTATAATGGAATACAATCAATAATATTTCAGTGATACATCGAAGCACACACAAACACACAAGCATGTGCGTACTGGAGCCATTTAATATGTACTAATTGATTTCAGAAAATATGTCACACAACATTGGAACATTATTTGTTAAGCATTAAGTGCTAGTAATTGAAATATTATTGCCAAAGTTTAGAAACATTCCGGCACGAAATCTATCGGCTCTATTAGTGCCAGCGACTCGTTAACTTGACATAGCTCTTAAGGTTCACCACTAGCAGTGTCTGGTCACCGGTGGCTGGTCACCAGTGGCTGGTCACCGGTGACTGGTCGTTAACAGGCACAGCTGTTCTCGGGCTCCTTGTTATCACCGGGCGCCTGTCGGAGGATCACCTCATGCACTGAACATAACATTAAGGAAAATAAAAAGGCCACTAAAACTAAAGATAACAGTCATCGAATACAGCATCCCAGAGATACGTGGAGGAAATAAGAATTGAAAGATAACGTCGAAAGATAAATCCATGTTAGAACTACTTAACATACCAACAGTCCAAGAAATACGTACTAACTCATATATACTGAAAATAATACAAATATATATAGCTATAATATATAAAGCCTATTAGGAGAAATATTTTGCTACAGTACTTTAAGTCTTTGCTGGGTATATAGAAAAAAAACATTCAACAAGCCTTTGAAGAAATGCATACAAAGAAATCTAAGGAATGACAAAAATGATAAATGTAATGAAGAAGCATGAAACTATATAACATATACATATTAAATATACATACTACAATCTATCTACTAGCAAGGTGTGTGCACAGTACAGGCGGGATGTACATACATACATATACAATAGAATAGAATTAGTATTATCAAGTTACTTACAAACACTAGCTCGTTATAACCACCACCACGTCACCGCGCGACAACACTGTTACCGTTATGACGTCACACGAACAACGAACCCGAACAACACGTTAGCCCGCACACACACAAACAAACGATCGTATAGCGAGTACACATACATACATAGTGATAGTGAGTCGGTGTGCGTGTGTGTGTGTGTGAGTATGGATGGATGTGTGTGTGACATCTGATCAATATATGAATATATATGAATATCTCTCAGATGGTTTATTAGCTGAATGGTAGGTGGTATGTAGTATAAAGGATACTGTCTTCAGGCGGCTTGCTCTCCGCTGAGTCCATGCCGGGCAGGGCTGCTGCGACGCGTCTGAATAGCTGAAACATGCAATAATAAAATCATTATTATATACAGGGTGACTGGGGAATTACTATCAATATTTAAGGAGAATACTCAGTACATGATTCTCATTCGAATTATATAAAAAAAAAGGCACTTAATTTTTGACAGAATTTCCGTATAAATAAATAAAGTGTTGACACGTTCCAAGTGTGGACGCCGCCAAACGCGTGTGTGTGTGTGTGTATACCTAATCTGTAGGGTGTTCATACGATGCGTAATTAATTACATAACTTTTGGTTAACTTTACTTAGAAGTTTATTAATATTTATGTTATATTAATTTTTATTTTGTCATATATGATCGTCAAATATCACGTCCTCAAGTATCGATAGTAATTCACCAGTCACCCTGTATATATCATCTATTCAATTATAAATTGCATTTATATATTCGGACAAAATAAAAAAAATAAATATAAATATTCTGTTTATATTCTATTTAAAGATGGTCGTCAAATCGCAAGTTAGTGATTCACAAGTATGATGAAACATATGCCCATATTACGACAACCTCATATATATATAAAGATATGAACGATGGCATGATAATAAATACATGTTTATTAATGTTTTTAATGATAGAACGGAATGATTTGGATAAGCGTTTATTTTTTTACAAACATTTATTATATTTTTATGTTAACAACATTGCACTTTAGTTATAAAGACGACTCATTTGAGATTTTATAGCAAAAAATTGTCGACGCAGCTGGCAGTTTTGTAAAGCTTAAAATAATAACAGCTTAAAATAAAAGCATCTACACAAAAATAGCAAAAAAAAAAAACACAAAACAAAAATGGGGGCATACAAAAAACAAAAATGGGAAAAGGGGGCAACTAAAGGGGCATGTCGACCAAAAAACTGTAATTTTTGTAAAATAAATGGGAAAGGGAGGGAAGGAAAAGTTGGGAAAAGGGAATAACTTGAAAAAACGCAGCCTTTAGGTTTTTCTGTAATTTTTGTAAAATAAATTCAAAGGGCAATAACTTGAAAAGGGTTTAGTATATGGGGCTCCATAGTCAAATCGGTTAGGAATGATGTAATCTATCCTCTCTTAAAGGATTTCGGTCGACTTAACCTGTAACCCTGTATAATTAAGAATATTTTTTAAAATACTAAGTATGTTTCATGGATATGCATCGCGTTTTTTATTTATATGTATTTTTAATGAACTTTCGTTATCTTTAATAGCAACCGTGATCATAGAAAGGGAGATGAAAGTGGTTATCAGTAAGGTTTCTTTTATTAATAATAAAAAAAATAACTTATAAAACATATGATAATAATGATGCGAGTAAGTTAACAAGTAAACTTGTAAAAAAAAAAAGTACATACTTGTTAACAAGTACATACTGCATACATAATGATTATGTTGTTTTTGTCACAAGAAATCAAAATCGTATGACTGATAGAATGTGTATAATATGCCATAACTTTAACATGTATGACCCAGAGCTATGGACGTAGAAACTTATGTAGTCCTATTTTTTTTCATTTATAAGTATCCTACCTCTACTAATGCCCCCCCAAATGTGTGCCCTGGGTGTGTGTGTGTGTGTATGTGTGTGTGTGTGTGTGTGTGTGTGTGTGTTACCTGCTTCACGTTGTACCCGGCCTTGGCGCTGGTCTCAATGAACATGACGTTCAGCTCCTTGGCCTTCCTGTCCCCGTCCTCGGTGGACACCTGCCTCTTGTCCGAGAGGTCCGTCTTGTTGCCGACCAGCATGATGATGACGTCAGAGCCGCGCTCCGTACGCACGTCATCTATCCATTTGGACGTCTGGTGGAATGAGTTCGCGTCTGGAATATAGGTAGATTTAGAATATTAAAAAATAATATATGTACATATCTGGCTATTAGCCGCTCTTATAACGATAATTTTGACATACATTATAATTTTTTATTGTATACATACATATAATGATATAATTTATATTTTAATTTATAAATATATTGATGATGATGAACAATCAGGAAGTATCAAACAGGACTTTCAATTAATATTATCATTTAAAAATATACACGCATTATCTCAGATAACAAAAACTGATTTGAAAACTATTGAAATTGTTAAAAGACTTCTGAGACCTTAGAAAGATAGAATTAACTCAATAAAAAATGAGAGTTGTGAGACTTTAGAAAGATAGAATTAACTTAATACCGACTGTTTTAACATTTCCAAATCATCCATTATAATCTTAAAACTATAAAGATATCTAAATCTAGTGATGAAGACGTTAAAATTTCGTATTAAGACCGAAAAACGGTTCAGCGGTAGACCTCTTATAAATCATTGCACTAATAATGAAAGTGTCGAAAATTCCTATACTGAAAACAGGCGGAACAATAAAAAAGAAATCGAAAGCATTGCGAGACTCACAATTCAGACTCAGTAGTATGCATTCGAAATTTTGAAAGGAGACAAAAAATATAGTTTAAAGAGACATTACGTTCAGCAATAACTTAAATAAAGACCATTACACGGGCATAGAGTTTAACTAGTTTTACGAGCAATTTATTTTATCGTCTTATCACAGTCTCGGAAATAAAAATTATAATTTGTTTCAGTTTTTTATGTTGTAAGACACATAAATCGTTGAGAATTGTTATAAGATGAATTAATTTTATTAATATATTTGGCTACGGAATGTATGCTATGTAGAAGGCTATACTATATATGTCTGTACCTAGTCTCTAGTGTACTATCTGAGTCTAACTAATAAATTATTTAATTCGGTTCTCAACTAGCCGGTACTTCGGAGAGGACTTGTTTATGAGGTCATTGAGCTTACAAAATTCGACTATACTAGGATACATATATAAGTTTTACGTGACAAATATATATGAAAAATAATACTTTTTTCCAAAAAAATCGATTTTAAAAGATACTTTGAATTTTGTGTAAGGCCTAATAATAGCAACGAAATATTATATTAAAGTAGATATTATGCTTTATATATATTTAATTTTATATCTTATATTTCAGTTTTAATTTTAATAACATTTCTTTAATAATAATAAAGGTTGTATCAGCGCATCGTATAGCCTACTTGATCCTCTCGGCACGCCGGGGATTTTAGTTCAGACATATTTCTTTTTGAAATAATGAGACGAGGCACGCAGCCAAAATTACTTTCATACTTTATTATTCTATATATTATATAAACATTTTTTATGGTATTAAAGTTAAATAAAATTACAGTAATGTAGATGTTGTTACGTAATAAAAATAATAAAAAAGTATTTTTAGTTTGTGTTAATATCGGGTACTCTTAATTGGACGTGAAATTCTTTGAATCAAAGATAAATTATTTATCGATACGGTTAAATAAAAAAAGCAAAGTACAAAAAAATGATTGCGAAAATTAAACACACTTATATGACTGTATATTTGAGTGCTTTTGATATTTAAAGGAAAGATACAATATCATTTAAAAATAAAATACAAAAGAAAAGTTTTAAACCTGAAAATCTTTCGGGATTTGGAGCCAAAAGATCTCAGAAAAAAGACTTATAGCTAAAACCAAATATTCCAATATATAATTTAACATCTATATGCTTTTGGAATTAGCGTCAATAGATCCTGTGGGGTGGTTTCAGACAAATATTTGAACGAGCGGGACCTAGTCTACTGGCAAACATGTTTACGTCACTCGTCCCGTTTATTTTAAACCTTGTTACAACATCATAAAACACATTTTCCTTCAGCAGAAACAGATAGAAAGTGAATCGGTTTAATTAAAACTCAACGGCTTTAGATTCGGTCGTAAAATTTTATGAAACACGTTGCATTGTTATATATATATTTTTTTCAGTATTACACATCGCTGTACTGACTTGAGGATTATTATTTCTAGATTTATTCATAGAGAAATAGCTATTTCCTTCAAAATACAACCGAAATATATCCGATACGTAATTGATATCAGCCTTCCAAGTAGAGGTTGTTGACCCCGATTTCGGAATTTCAGATGCATCGTGAAACCTGCACAATCTTTTGTCCGTTCGATATTCTGAGACGGATTGAGTAATCGAGACGCTGAAGCATTCAATACGAGAAATTGTACTGGAAATTGTAATTACTACTATAATGAAAAAAAAACTCCTTAAAAAACTATACTAATATTCAGTCCTCGTAAAATTATTTACAAATTTAATTAACTTTGTTTCTATATAGAGCAAAATGAGGATATTTTAAATTTTAATAACATCAAACGTTTAGAAAATATATTTAATAAACATGGCCGCTGTCGACTCAATCAAGCTTCGTCCTCATTTCGTCCCTCGTACTTATAATGTCCGTAAATTTATAACTAAATTAAATTACCATACAAATTTCTATGTATATATTTTTATATATAATTCTTTCCGAACATCAACTCTGTATAAATATAATCCTATTTTCTAATATCAAACCAATAAATCAGCTGTTATTTATATTTGAAAGCGGGATCGTAAATTCGTTATATGTCCGGTATACGGTAAGTACATAAGATAACCGTAAAAGTATTGCAATAACTACGAGGTCGTCGTACAGCTGTTCTATATCGAACCGTACTTGTCTCCGTAAAACCGGGCACGTACGTACATGAGGTAACGTTATGCGAATGCATGTACGGATATAGTACGTGCATGGGAATAATATGCATATAGTTTTATAATATCCAAAAACATGCTATGAAGTCTTAAAGCTAATTTTCTAAACAGTGCTTACTCTTTTAATGAAATAGATTACTCCAGCATTCAACATTATTGACCACGGATTTAGAGACGATTATGTGTCGATGGACGGATGAATAAATTTTTGGAATCTTCCGCCAAGAAATGAACGGGTTATAATATAGCATCTGGGTAACATATTAATTATAATTTACTCTGAAATTACACACACATATGTAGTTCAAGAGGAAAAATTCATGCTTGCTACATTTTGTATGAAATCATCACATAGAAGATAGTTGTCACTACAGAATTGCAAATAAGTATTACTTATTCTTAATGAATCCAATAAGAAAATTTACGAGGATGTAGTCGAAGTTTCTAGAAGGATATAGAGGCTAGTATAGAACTTTACCTTTAGCCACTAATATGAACGGTAAAGCCTCATATAGCTTTAATATTACATGTGTATGACTCAGACAGGTTCAAGTCACCGGTCGACGATGGTGACACTGTCATATGTCAAACACGGTGATGTCATGATATTAAATTAATAAAGAACCTTATATAACTATAAATAAAGTATAAGTTTCTTTGTACATGTTCCGAATAAACGTAGGTGTGAATTAACTCATCTGTTGTAAGCATTACTTAATATTACATAGTAAAGGATTTATGTATAAAATTTAAGAAAGAATTCTTGATTACCAGACCAGTACATTCGAAATTGTTTATCTTACAAGGATGGATGAAGGATATATGAAAAAATAGTAATATTCGTTCTAAACTACCTTCACAACGTAATATATAGTGTGAAACAGCTTTGACCTTTAGTCCTTCATCAAATAAATTTGTATTGACGTCATTTGATTCAATAGTATTAAACCTATTGTGCCATCAACTCAGACAGATAGTTTTTAACTAACATATACAGGGTGACTGGTGAATTACTATCAATACTTTAGGACGTGATATTTGACGATTATACATGACAAGATAAAAATTAATATAACATAAATATTAATAAACTTCTAAGTAAAGTTAACCAAAAGTTATGTAATTAATTACGCATCGTGTGAACACCCTACAGATTAGGTATACACACACACTCACACATACGCGTGTGGCGGCGTAGTGTTGTATCAGCACGCCGCCGCACGCGGCCACACTTGGAACACTTGGAACGTGCCCACGCTTTATTTATTTATACGGAAATTTGGTCAAAAATTAAGTACCTATTTTTTTACATAATTCGAATGAGAATCATGTACCGAGTATTCTCCTTAAATATTGATAGTAATTCACCAGTCACCCTGTATATAAAGTCCTTGGATAAAGGAAATATATAATAATTAAATAAAACAATTTCCATCCCACATCCTAATGACAATTATTTGAATTTAAATCAGACATAATCAAGAAATAAATTAGATTTTTGTATTGCAATGTAATATATACATACATATATTCCTTTGGCCATACTAATCATTAAAAAAAACTTGCCAAAATCATTTTAAAGTGCTCATCTGAGAAATAACATGACATCGTGACTTTTGTGTTCACTGACATATGTAACAATTTAAATGTTTTTCATTCATCAATAATATTAATAAAACGACAAACTATAACACTTTCAGTGTGTAGTTTGATGATACAGACCCATACTAAGGTAAATTGTCTATGTTTTATGTAGGTAAAGTACAGGTATATAGTGAAAGTAATTGGGAACGACCTAGTAACATTCATTCAAAGTCACCGAACTGAAGAATGGGTTGAAGTAATAGATTAACCCACATAATGCTACAACCTAAGTTTGTAGACCTAAATAACATTTTAAGATACTACAGCCACGGGCAAAAGTATTAGGCACCCTACAGTAAGACAAGTTTTAGGGTGTTTTAGCATAGCGAGTGTAAATAAAACTGCATTTATGATTACAATGGTTCATTTTAAGAAAATAATTAATATTTTGTAGGTCCACCTTTTGACTTAATAACCGCAGCCACTCTTTTTGGCATTGACTCTACCAGCCTGAAACATTCTTCTCTTGATATATTTTTCCATTCCTGCTGTAACGCGGCCAATAGAGCTTGTTTATTGCTAATCGAGTGCCTGCGGATATTTTTCTTTAAAATGGACCAAATATGCTCAATCGGGTTGAGGTCTGGTGATTGTGGTGGCCAGTCCAAAAGATCAATATGATTTTCAGCAAACCACTTCATGGTATGCGCGGACTTGTGGCAAGTGGCGTTGTCTTGCTGAAATTTCAGGCCATCTGTGTTTGTATCACCGAAAATTTGCGTTATCGACGTTGCTAGTGCTGTTTCCAGAACTTCAGTGTATTTAACACTATTCATTCGTCCCTCACACAACACCATTTCGCCCACTCCGTCGGCAGCCATGCAGCCCCAGATCATTATTGAGCCTCCACCATGCTTAACAGTGGGAACCACACATTCTGGGTTGTATTCTTCGCCAACCCTTCGCCTAACATAAGTCACACCGGGTGTTCCAAATACCTATGCCAAACGAAAAAAACACATTTATTTTCAAAGTTATTATTTTTCTTGCAGTACGTTATTTTAAAAACATTTATGTGTTTTAATATTGTACATAAAATAAATAACAATACCTCAAAGTTAGATTCGTCTGACCACAGTACGTTGGACCAATCTTCCACTGACCAATCTCTATGTTTGAGTGCCCACTCCAACCGATTTTTCTTATTGTGTTCTGACAGCCACGGCTTCTTCCTTCCTTTAAATCCTTTTAATCCAGCTTTAAGAAGTCTTCTTCTCACAGTATAAACACTCACTGAGCTGCCTTTTGCCTCAGATAATGCTGCAGCGAGCTCTAAAGCAGTTTTTTTCCTGTTTTGTAGAGACTGCCTAATCAACAATCGATCTTCCCGTTCAGTAGTAACTTTTCTTCTGCCTGTTCTTGGTCTATTTTCATGGGTGCCAGTCTCTTTGAAGCGATTTATAGCATATTGAACTGCACATCGCGAGCACTTCACTTCTCGGGCTATTTTAACCTGAGACATGCCTTGTTCATGTAAAATCTTAATTCTAAGACGCTGTTCAGCACTAAGTTCAGATTTTTTCGGCATGATTAACACGTTAAATGTTAGTCTTTAGAATTGTGATAGGAATAGTTGCGTAGAAGACGTGTATGTTCACTGCAAGCACTGATAACACACTATAACCCGAAACGCAAAAAAAGCAAATTCGAAGAAACACCGCTTAGGAGCACACCTGGATGTCATAAATATTTTCTTTTATCTTAATTTGGTTAAAAATTGCCGCTAATACAATAGCTAAACCATAAAACACACACTTGACCGCAATATAATGAGATAGTGACTAACAATAGGGGTGCCTAATACTTTTGCACGCAGCTGTATATAAATGGGTCACAAATAAATCTTTGAACAAGTGCAAAATATCTCATATATAAAGCTATAAAATAGGAAAATTGTCAAACAATGATTGCATAAGTAATAGTTTAAACAATAATAATTTTAATAGTAATCTTTAGTTTCATCTATGAATTAAATAAACACATAACTTAGAAAAAATATAAATGAATACACAAAAAATGTGATGTAATGCGAAGCATTTTGTTTCTTTTTTATGAACTTAGAGGAATAGTGAAAATATTATACATGTTATGGTAACATTAAAGTTGAGTAGAGCTCATTAAAGTTGAATAATTTGTAAGAGAAAGTGATCTTTGAAACTGAATGGTATGTTAGTTATATGAATGAATGAATGAATAGTTATTTAGACATTATGAACTTTATAATTCAATGATTCATTATTTTACTTATCTAATAATTATCTTTAACAACTAGCGAATATTTAGAGTGACCTAAATATTAATCTTTATGTCGCTCATGTTTTATAAGAGAGGAAGTTAATGTGTGTTGCACACACACATATACATACACACAAAAACACATTAGTTATTACTTATAAAGCTATATAACAGTGTGATCAAGAGATGAAATAAGAATTATCAGCATTGTATCTGTGTTGAGAGCATAAGGGTAACATGCTAGTAGTAACATTCCACAGTTTATGGTTTGTAACTAAATGATATATAGGTATTTATACGAAGGACATCACTGTTCTGATAAGAAAGTCCTAATCAATGTTGATGAAATTATGATTAATAATAGAAATAGTTCGGAATAAGAGCCAAAAAAATGTGTAGGTAATGCTACAAGTAAATGTATGTTAGAAATATACTTTGAATGATAATATAATATACTCACTGGTGATATCATAAACGACAACAGCGACAGTCGAGTCTCTGATGTATGAGGGTATGAGGGAGCGGAAGCGTTCTTGGCCGGCCGTGTCCCAGAGTTGAAGACGAACGGTTCGGTCTTCCAAGTACATTGTCTTTGACAGGAAATCTATACCGATTGTCGCCTGCCAATGAAATTTTATATTAATACACTAGGAAATTTCAGCTATCTGTGCAGTATTGGAAAATTAAATATTACTTGCAAGCTAAATGAAGCACAAATACATGTTAAAGTTATGATAAATTTTATAAGAATGACAGAATACTTATAATTAGAAAATAAATAAATTTTTAATGCTAATTATAATTTATAAGATATAATTTAAGCCAAAGCCAATGTTTTTTTTGTTTTAAAATCTTTAAAACACATAGAATATAGACACAATAACAAATATTTTGATATGACTCATAATAAGATTGTGGAGCAAAAAAATGTTTTATTGGAATCATTTGAAAGTGAATAAAATTATGGGAAAAATTAACCAGATCTTACATGGAAATACGATATAAAGCTAAATATTAAATAATATTTATTACTTAAGTTGCAAATATTAATAAAATTAAATTACTCTTTGTGATTACAAGTATTAAGATATTATTATGTAGAACTGTCTCACCTGGTAAGTGTTGTCAAAGCTGTCATACATGAATCTTGTGATCAACGAAGTTTTTCCCACTGAAAAACATTAGTTACAGGTCAATCAATGATTGATGCAATCATCTTGTAAATTGATTTTCGATAAAAGAGAACTACTAACGGGAATGCAGATCATACAATACCGTGAGAAATCTAAAAGACACGATAAAGTACTTAATTGCGTTTAGTAACCTACATCCATTATGCTGACCAATTAATAATTTAATGCAATCATCGAAATAAATGTTCAATTTATTAAGTTTCTTCAAACCTTGGAACGAAGTAGGTCAGTTATTCTACGTCTAGATGTTCATGTACGTGTCGTTATATCAAAAACTGAGTATTAAAAATGTACGGCTACTTAGCCAATTTGACTTCTACTCACCGCTCTGTTCGCCCAAGAACACCAGCTTAAATTTGCGCAAGGGGTTTCCAAATTCACCAGACGTAGACATTTTGAAGTATTAATTAATTAGTACGCTAAACTATAATTTCACAGTAATTCTTATCACAGAAAACTACATGAACAATGACAGTTCGGGCCACTCCTGCGGCACACACGAGCGCAGCGCCGCCACGTTACGGCAGACTGACGGCGCTATGCAAAAGCCAACTCAGCAAAATACTAAAACTCTGAAGTTTATATATTTTTAAAATATAAATTATGTCCTAATTAGTTTGACTATAATTGTTAATATTTCCTAAACTATTCAATAATAAAAATATTATTCCATTATATTTATTATCATCATCTGTTTCTGAACGACAACAGTAAGTCATACTGATTAATATATAATTTTTTCAGAGCAGGAATAAAAAAGCATGTAATATGTAGTTTTGAGTAAAGTAGCGAAAGATTTTATGGATTCCCGGAAATTGTGTAAAATTAAGAACAATCTAATTAATAATAGTTAAAAGTTTTATCTACTTTCCTCTGCTATAAAAGTATGAACGTGTTATTGACAGCCATAATGCAGGTTTTTTAGGCTAAGTTTCTTTGTAGGCACAGTAATTTCTATATCTTTGGAAATATCCAATAGAACAACATTTTGTATAAAAGAACGATGCTTAATGGGAACCTATAGATCCACCATTTCAGCACTATTTTGTAGAAAATAAACTTACAAAAATATAAAAATAAAATATAAAGATAATAAACGCTTTAGTTATAATCTGGCAACAATATGTCAAAAAATCTTTTTTTTTCCAGTAGATGGAGTTAATTAATTATAAAAAAACTTTTATCCTGGATATTCTTTATATTGTATAATTTTTTAATTTCGTTTGGAGAACAAAGCAGTTTATAACTCGGACCTAGCGGAAACACCAAGTTTCTGTTTAACACCAGTATGCGACATACTGAAGTTATTAAGACTTTTTTCTCTACTTCATTGCCTTAGTATTTTGCACAATCGTCTTTTAAGACCGATTTTAAAGAGGAGGGTGTTTTTCAACTCGAAAATATTAATATTTATAAGTTTGTTCTTGGATTATTCGGTCTTCAACCGGTTTTGATATTAATTTTTGTTTAGAAAGGAGATAGCACGTGATAAGGAAACCAGGAATGCATAATGGACTCATAGCGAAGGAAACTTATGCATCGCAGCTAATTCTAAGATAAGACTGCTTTTTCTGTGTGGGTTTATCAACTTAGTTCGCGAACTCTTAATTTAATAATATCTCCATATAAAATTTCATCTAAATCTTTTATTCTATTTCTGTTTAAATTTGTCAGTGTTCCATTTTCCTTTGCAAGTACTCGTCGTCAGCAGCCTTCTTTAATCTAGAAGGATCCTTATCACTCTTTGCATCATTTAAATAATAGAATATTTTTTAACTACACCACAAAAAAAAACAAGTTAAACTTTTTTTTTTGCTTAGTTTTAAGAATAGCTATATCTTAAGTATTTTTTTATGCTTATAGTTAGTAATTGTCTCCATTGTATTCGGTATTCCTTCATAGTTTCTTTACATGCATATATAGTATGATAATTAATCAGTTACATATTTTATTCTATATGTATGTATATAGGTATGTCAATAATTAGTCTGTAATTATTTTGATATATATATATATACAGGGTGACTGGTGAATTACATACGATATTATTATATATAATTTATTATTTAACCAAAGTTGTTAACTTAATAGGTACCTACGAATCAAATGGCACCCATTTGAAAACTATAAAATTTATTAGTGTATTTTGTATTTTGTATCCAAAAAATAATTGATTCTTTCGAAAGTGTCCCCTTAACTAAGAACTTCAAAACTTTTTAAAAGATTTCTTTGCGAGGTTAGCATTTGATTTAAGGTTATTGCATATTGCAGTTGTCTGGGACGAATATTGAAATGAAAAAATGTATTGAAATGAAGAAATCCGTGAACAACTTAATTTTTTGTACCTAAATGTAAGAAATTACTAAATAAAATAAATTGACTACCACAGTTGAACGATATGTATAAAAATATAGTAACACATTATTTTACACTTAAATTAAATCTTAAACAAAGAGAAGTTGTTTATGAGATTCATACAATTTGTAAGTGCATGAAAATAAAGTTTTTTCACTAGAAGGAATGAAATGGCTGCATTATTAACAAATGTTCAATATTTGGCATCAGTTCAGTGAGAAAGATCTTAAATCCTCTCAATTAATGAAGTTGAGTTTGTTGTTTTGGTTTCAGATCGTTGGCAACCGTTTTAATGTTTAATCCATTCCATACCATGAAGACGAAAAAGCCTTTAAAATTTTTCTACTTATTGTAATTTAGATATCCCTTTTCGAAGCCAGAATTGCTGATTCCGTTTGAAAAGTATAATTTGACATCTTTTGTTCTTATTTCAATCATGACAAAGGAAATGTAAATTTTTAAAAATTAGCAAATAGAAACTAAAATGATACAATAGTTCTTACGAGAATACCCAACAAAAATTACTTTAGTTCAACTTAAAGCCCGTTTACCAGTGCTAGTTTATGTTACGAAAAATATTTTCTTGCTAAAGGTATTTTTCTTATCAAAGGTCTGAAAGTGTAATCATCGCGACATTTCTTAGTATTGCTATTTATTTAGTAATAATTGTCAGTGTAAATTGATCTTCCTAATTGCTTGCATGGAAAGGAATAGATATTGAAAAAGCGCGACTTATAAATAAAGTACAATATCTAAAAAACACTTACATAATATCTATCTACACATGGAAATCTCTTTAAATATAAACTTACTAAATATTAGGTGAACGGTGACCTGTGTCGTAGTTTTATTTAGTAGAAACAATACAATATTTCGAAATAAGTGTTTTTAAATTCTACAAAAGGAAATGCGATTTTTTTATAAAAAATTGTTATATTTCATTACAGAAAATTTGATAGATAGGCATTCATTTTATTTCAAATAAAAGTTAAAAATAAGATTACTTAAATGAGTTTAACTGTCTTGGACATTCTTATACATCTCATTGTCTTGTGACTTTTTTTCTTGTAAGCCAATGTAAGCCATTTTCTAATGATAGGCATCGGTATAGGTTATAGGTATAAAGGTTTATCTATAATCTCCACTCCCGCGACTCAATTGTGCCGTAAATATTTCAATTTATTCGTTTTATAGAACACAAAAAAAAACCATTTTTAAACTAGTTGTATCCATGAATCAATTAAATGCCAAGACGAAATCGACACAAACAAGATTCGTTTTTGATCGTTAGAGGAAGTAAAAATCTACTTCTCATGAAATAAGTTTTCTTTTATTAGATCACTTACATGAAAAACATAGTTCTAGAATTAAATGAAATGCAAGTCCATGAAAAACTTGAATGTTATCGTATTTCACTTAATGTTAATAATCTCAGAAAAAGGTCCTGTGGACTTTGGTCATTCATCTTGAGACCTCAGCAGGCTACTCCGCATATCACCTTCAATGTGTCACTTAAATATATTCATGCTCAATGAATGGTCAAAAGTATTGCAGAGTGATTCTTCTTCTTTATTTAATGGGCAGAGTGATTCAAATGTGATATACTATTTTGTACTGTTAGGATGTGTCTGTGATATGTGACGTGTAGTGAAAAAATTAGAAATGTGGTTTTCATAGGAGGTATTGTTTAACTGTTGTCCTTTTCTGTTGAGTTGTTGACACACGTTTACCGCTTCTTTATTTTCGAGAAATGCGGAAAAGTCTTTAGTGAGCCTTTAAGAACAGTAGACACATTTTTGTATTTTTTTTTGTCGCCGATGTAAACTATGTATATATATCACGAAGGCAAGTCCTTGCTCAACCCAAAAAGTTTCAAAGTCATTATCCTACTAGGTAAATACTAATATTATAATTGGGAAAGTTTGTGAGTGTGTGTGTATGTTTGTTACTTCTTCACGCTCAAATGGCTATACTGATTTTGATAAAATTTTATATACAGGAAGCTGACGTCCAGAAATAACATATAGGCTACTTTACATCCCGGAAATACGCGGGAAACACCGCGGGGCGCAGCTAGTTATCAATATATTTTTTTCTTCATTATCATATTTCTATTTGATAATAACATATAGGTATCGCTTTCTGGTAACAGGACAAAAGAGTAAAGAGTTTTTTGCTTTACATATACAAAATATCGGAAAGCATTTGAAATACAATTACAAAGATATTTCAATGTTGTTGAACTTGACTTATTGCATAAACAATTCTTTTACCTCATTTAACTGAATCAAGTGATCATTTTAACTGAATCATAAAATACAATTTAACAGTTAATAAAATTAATCCATACAAATCAATTTTATATTAGTTACTACAATTATATATTATTTTAGTTTCGGGTCAAATAAATAGAAAAAAAATAAATACCTAAATTTTATTAAAGTAATTATTTACAGAATAATAATTTGTAATATCACGAACCATAGTATCCACTACTTGACATTATGAAAGTACCCTAGACTCGCTAAGACCTATTCATTAATATTTGGTATTGTTTTTAACATAAATAACATTGAAATTCATAACTTTATTAAATACATACTTCAATTATCTTATTTCTAAATAAGTATGTAAAGAGTTAAAAATAGACTGCATGTGGCGCTAACACCACGTTTGAAAATCTTTACTAATTGAACAGAAAGTTATGGCAATCCAATTTAGACACATATAATTTTTGATTAACTGCTGATATCGAGTTGAACTAGGTTTAACCATACATTGAATAATGGAACTATTATAATTACGGTGCATGCCGCCTTGGTGGGAACATATTTTCTTCGACAACAAGAACGCCACATGCTAGATCATATCCGGTGCGATTGTGACGGAAAACAAACAGAATGAGGCATAGTGGAAATAACAGGGTGATGAGGAAGTTCTTTATTAAGGAGCGTGTTAATGCTAGAAGGAAACTCAAAGGTTTGCCGGGATGTAACAGAACTGTCTCGCGGGGTCTACCTTCCACTGGTATTATGGCTGAAGCGGTCACCACTCTCAGACCAAGCAGAGCTTTGCCAGGCGTAGCACCCCCTGTTCTTCCCACACTGCTACTTAAGCAGAAAGCCTGAAGAATTATTGTTAAATTTTTATTAGTATTTGTAACTTGCATAGAATTCATCTTCATTAGTAAATACATCTATTATAAGCTAGAAAACATCAATAATAGTCATAACATAACATAATTCCTAGATATAAAAACTATAACAAATCAATAAATAAAAAATGTACATGTTCATACCTCAAATACGCAAACCAGAGCTCTATAAATGATTTCCAAGAAGAGTAGTTCCGTTGTGAGTTCCAAAGCATATTTGTAATCATCATAGGCTTCACTGAATTTGTAGAAATCAAACTTATCCAAGTCACTTAAAGAAAACAGATTTTATTAAAAGAGAGAAGAATCATATTATAACCCAATATATATTTTCAGGTACTTTGCAAGTATGTAACATAGTATATTGTCGGTGATGGTGCAAATCTGCTTAACTACAATTGGATAATTCCGCATATCTACATTGGAAGCAGTTTGTGGGAAGAAAGTTGGAGCTGAAATATTTTCTATATTAAGGTATTTTTGTCACAATTAGTAATTAATTAAACACTATATAATTAGTAATTGTGAAAAAATAACATAGAAGTCGTTAATTTAGAAAATATTTCATCTCAAACTTTCTTCTGATAATCTGTTTCCAATATAGATATGCGGAATTATCCAATGGTAGTTAAATGAATTTTCACTATCTCTGACGATATAATATTTGTTTATGATACAAGTTAAATGTTTAGTGTGAAGTACTTACATTAACCCAAACAAATCAACAGCGATACAGGTCACAATCAATTTAAGAATGAAGAGCAGCAAGAAATCAATGAACTCCGCAATCATCCTTTTATATAGAGGTGGTATCACATATTCATAGCCTCCATGTCTAGCTATAACTATAAATAATAATTGTTGTATTTATCTTTCACAGGATAATATAAAAAAGTTTATTAATAATATGATATGTAACATTTGCTTTATTTCGATATATTATATACCTTCAGCTGGTGAGAATGGTTCAGGTTGAGCTTGATTTTCTCCAGGAGGACGAGCCTGAATTGGGACTTGGAATGGGAAGTTTTGACCATGAAATTGATAGTTATTATTTAATAAAGGAACATTTGTTGTATTGTTCTGGAGTCCTTGTAAAGTCATCATATAGTATGGGAAACATGTCGATATGTTTTGGTACATCTGCGCTTGTTGAATCCATAGTCGTAAAGCCTGGAAGTAAGCTTCTCTTTCCGATGTAGCGGGGCGGTCACCCTCCGACCTTTGTTCGCCCTCTGATCCTTCCGTATTCACCAATCTCTCTGTGTCCGACATAGTGTTTTAATACTACATATAACACAAAATTTCTTATTATTTATGTTAGGTACACGTCAGTTTTGTTATTTTGATGAATTAAAATTTATAGATTATCAAAAAATAAATGTCAAAATGAAAAACTTGACAGCAAATGTCACTAACTTACTATAAAAGTAAATTTACTCAGCCCAAATAAGAAACAATTCTGATTATCAGAGAGTAAAATGAAATCAACGATAATATATTTCTTAATTTTTAAATTGTTTTATATATAATTTTTTTTAACTTATTTATTGTTATACTACTTTATGCTATAGAAAATATTTAAGAATGGCAAATTTTAACCTATAGGCAACAATGTTCAAATGTCAGATGAAATGATTACTCTTGTGTCATCTATTTACCGGATGCGTGCGCATATTCCTCGATTTTGTGGATAGTAAGCCGTGGTGTGGACATTGGTGTTAAAGCCATGAGATTGTTCATTTGAATTTAAATTGTATATACAAGCTGGTTTTTATTCGTTTGCGATTATTAGTGTTGAGCGATTCAATCTATTACGTGTGTGTGTTTAACTGTACGTTTAGTTCACCTTTAACAACGAACAGTTGTAGCTGAATCAATCGCTATTTATTGTATTTTTTGAACAGTGCAATGCGATGTGCTGGACAAGAGACAGTTAAAGTAAAATAAAAAGAAGCAGACCCTTTTCTTGGACGGGCAGTAAGTATTTTACTGCTCCTTAAATAATTTTATTCAACTGCGTAGATACTTATCATATTTTAGACTGTGTTACTCGTTTGGTTATACTTTATTTTATAAAATAATGTATAAAACCGCATTATTTTTGAATTGTTATGTATAAACAACGACAAGTTATAAACATTTTTATCTAGCATGAATAGTAGATGCAGTCTTTTGAAATACCACTGTAAATACGCTTGACATATCCTGATAGCCTTGAAAGTAGTTTTTGCTTCAACATACAACTGGGTCACTGTACCCTCTAGTCGGTACTGGGTATTTCATATCTATTTATTTGTTACCAACTTTATCCTATAAGCTATCTCATATATATATTAGGAAACGACTATATCTGTGGATAGCTAAATACTCCTATGTTAATACCCACGTTTTAGTTGTTTTAGTAAAATATCATTATTCTTGAAGTTATATAACACGTGATGTTATCGTAGTAACGAATTATTTATAGAAATATATCAATATTTAAATCTATTTCATTTTTATATCGGACCATCGTTATCTTCAAAAACCATCTCAATATAATGTATTATATATTTTTTTATCAATCACTACAATTTTTATATTTACTAGTAATGGTAACATGTTCCTTTTTCCATCGTTTCGAGCTCTTGCCAGTAGCAAATTAGCTTAAAGAAATTCTAAGAATATAATTACTTTTTAAAAGTGATTTAATTTTAGTAATAAAATAGAAAACGATATTTAATTCTATTATGAACGGCTGAAACGAAAGGAATCAAATTTAAATAAAGCAATAAATAAGAATAAAAATACTGTCCAAGAATCATATGCTGCTATGTATTGTTCAAAGGAGTTGGCGCCGAATGTCCTAATTAATATGAACTGCGCATGCGGCGCGCCTGCATTACGCGCCACTTACTCACTGTCTTCTGACGTAAATTATAATAACTGATTACATTAGTATGCACCCAGCCGCCCGGAGATCTCCACTTGATAGTCTCCACGTGCCACTCGAAAGTCTGATTGTATATTAATACGATAGCTATTGTTTTTCGCAGCAACAGCAACTTTGTTAGGCAATCACACTGGCGGGCATTTTTTTTATTTCGCAATAAAATAAAAACGAGGTTTTAATGACAAACATTGCAAGCGGAATGAAATCACAGTAAGTACTTGTCTGAGTGTTTATTAAAAAAAAAATCGATGAACCCCTTGTTTTGAACCCTCGCGTCTCTTAATGACGACGCCCTTATTTCGTATGTATCACCCCACTACATACGTCTGACAAACCACTCAAGATGATATGAAACGGTTCTATATAATTGTGTTTAATTGATATTTAATTATATACCGACCGGTATCTCTCGACCTGTTCTAGGGAATTAGAAAGATTATTATCAAATACCGCTTAGTCACAATCCGACAACCCATCGGATGTCTGATCGGTGACTCAGGATGTTATGTGGTAGTTTTTTTTTTTTTCCTTCACAACAGGTTGTGTGTACGTCGGTACATTTTTGATTTTAGTATTGAGATAGGGTTTAATTTAATAGGTGCGATTTTATAATTATTTCCATATTATCTACAGCAGTAATCATCTTTTATTATTTATGGCAAATGTTTATTTATTGAGAACAGTCTTTTGCAGTTTCATTGGTTGTTTTTCACGAAAGAGCATATTATAATTATTTATTTTTTATTAATATATAAGGGTGACCTTTTTTTTATTGAATTGACTATTAAGTATTAATTTTTAAAATCTTACGCACTTTCTTTTTGAAAAGATGAATAATGATCTTTAAAATAATCGAACACTTTTAATGTTCTTAAAATATTTCATGATGTAAAATGTTTTCTAGTTAATATATTCTATTTAAATTGAACCAAATTGTATGGGTCATAACAAATAATATTGTATATATGTATATGATGCTCATTATTATATTTGACCTAACATCTAAAAATGTCGAAGATTAGCTCATACAATATTTGCGTGGTCGTTCCCTAAGTCTAATGTATACGATAGCAACTAATCTGTTACGCTTTATTTGGTTACGAGCCGCTGTTCCTTCATCGGAATATGAATCTAATGTTAACGGTATATAGAACTAAAATCGTCTACACGCCAGCCAGCAGTTGTTTGACATAGATTTAGTCTCATGGTTATGTACAATTACGTAATCGATACAGTATCCGGAGGGGAATAGATAATGACAGTAGAACTCAATAATGTGGTATAATTAGGCGTCAAGTAGTGCGTCACGACTCACGGCTCACGGACGGCCGGTGTCACGGAGCGGGCGATAAGATGTACGCAGATATACTACGAGTTTATTACTTGAATAAAAACACGTACGCTTTGATTTACACTACTCCTACACTATAGCTATAAATAATGTCTATTTAATAGAATAGTCACTATGACAAACAGGAGTCGATGATTTGAAATGTTATGATAAAAGGAAGTTTAACTTTTAGGTATTTTAGTTGGAACTCATTTATCATCAGCAAGATTGTGACTTGTTGTGAGGATGGGCCTTCTGAACTCTCCCACCCCACGAATGTCGACCTCTTTTGTGTTATGATTGCCGGGCAATGCCTGGAGGCGCAACAAGCTAATATTTTTATCGCGATCCATCATTCACCGTATACACACGGTTATCGTTCCTCAATTACTCCGAATCGAGCGTCGAGGAGATGGATTCCAAAATAAACAAAAACAATTCCTATGTTTATATCTTTAAAGTTCATTTGTTAATATCTGCTTTGATCTCATCCCGTTTTGACGTCACCTTTTCATAATTTATTATTTCGATTTTGTACCAGAAGCTACTCCAGGACAATGGATGTTAATGAATTAGAAAAATGATTGATCGCTTGAATTCACTCGTTTCTAAGCGAGATAAACGGTTACGTGATATTAAAATATAACAACAATAATAGGTACAAGTTCGTTCTTTTATCATTTATCGCCTACACGAGCCACGCTGTTTACTCGGACGACTCTAAATATTTGTTTAAATTATTTACACCAACGGAATTATGTCTATTATCGTGTGTTTTTTCTCAGCAGGTTCTTAATTATGTTTTTATTGTTATAATTTTTTATGTCTACTCTGGTATCGGTATAATTCAATCGTATCGTATCGGATGGCTCATGTCAGTAGCTAGTCGTCGCAGATGACTGTGTGTGTAACATCATGTTTCTATTGAAGGTACATGTGAGCTCAAACGTTGATTTCCGTTCGTTCTGTTCGCTTCCATCTGACTGACGAGTCACGTTACACTGTATCGGATGTGTACTATAATGTAAACTTTACGTCGAACGCACCTCACGTGAAACGGTTACGGAACGTAATTTTAACGTAAGCCGACTCCGTATAAATAGAATGGGGATACTTGGACGTGGAATGCGCTCCCAACCGAAAACAGATAAACGCTGCCTGTGAGCACGTCCGCCTCGTGACGTCACGTGAACAATTCAAATACACGTTTTAATGTTTTCTTTGAACGCTCTGATGTTTCAATATTAACATGCTTGATGACACTCGCCGAATGGAAGAGGTAATAATAAACATTATTCAGTACGCAGGACTTAAACAGTGATATTTTTAGAATTTGAACGTGGGTAGTTTTATTTTTTTTCTATAGTCACAGTATATTTTATGTGTATTTCAAATTAGTTTGATGCAACGTAATTTATATATAAATTATCCGTTTGAGCTCACTAGCGGTTCACTCGTGTGAAAACTGATCACTTGCTCATTATATTTGATATGTATTTTATCTCTGCTAGCTATGAAACGAATCTGCATATTTAATAAGCAAACTAACAGATAGGAAATGAATTTAAGAGAATCTACGGTAATATTTAATTTTTGTTTTGGTTTTTTTATGTACTTAAGTTACGTGCTAATCTCACATATTTTTTATTAAATTAAAAGTATCCAAGACATATCAAAAGATAGGTTAAAGTCGAGAACAAATATTTTGTACAGAAAATATTGTATGAAAAAGCCCCTTTCAATCTTACGCTCTTAAGATATGCGTTCCAACAGATGTGGTTCGTTTAATAAATCGACAGCTATTTTAGTAACATTAGTACCAAAACAAGAATTTTAATTGTTCTTATACTAACTACGTACGTCAATGGTGGTTTAACTTTTTTCCCCATCATTGTTAAGTTACCACATCATTAATGTAATCATATGTTAATTATGTTTCAGAAGTTAAATTATTTTAACCGTTTAATATCATATGCTCTATTTTAACTACGATTTTGTATTGCGTACTGG